CGTTTGACTTATTCACTATTTCCTTACTTCCAGAACACAGTGGTCTAGTGCTTCAGCTGGAGAACTTCCTCCCTGTCCCTCTTAGAGCAGTTCTCTCCCTTGCTGGGACTTAGTTCACCTGATGTTGCCACTGCCCTGCATGCGTGGGTGGCCTTTGAGCATCTATCAATATAGAATTGTGCATCTGTAAATTGCTTCCTGATCTGTACCGTGCTACATTGTGAGTTACTCAAAGACAGAGCATTTCCACCCCTTCATATTTTCAGAGCCCATCACAGTGCCTGGAGCGCAGAGTTTTTGATAAATGCTGATTAAGTAAACACATAAAATGATAATTAATATAAGGGAAAGCTTTGCACAGAGGGAGGGTAGTGGGCGATCATTTGAGGCATCTTTGGCATTTTTAAGTAGTCCTTTCATATAAAATAAAGATTAAGAAAAATATTGATGATTACTTAGTAGTCATTTTCTTTTTTGTGGCAGCAATATCTACTTGAGTATAGTTTTATTGTTCAGAGTTGTTTTTAAGTGAAAAGAACAGAGAGGAACCAGACTAACTACTCCTTGACAAATCTCCAAATGAAAAAGACTTCTCTCCATGGAGCTTTTCCAAAGAACAAGCAGGGAATGGCTTGTTTTCTTCACTTGGCATCTCTAGCTTTCCCCAGGGTGGAGTCACCGGGCTGATAAACAGCAAGAGGCCCTGGAAACCACTTGTTCACGTTCACTGGTCTGGGAGCCACTTCTGCTACTCCCCTTAGAAAACTCTTTATTCAAGTGCATCTGTGTCCGTCCTTAATCTGTGTTCCTGTTGTACTGATACAATAAAATCAGAATTGAGTTTGTGCAGCCAGTTTTATGAAATAAATAAATCTAAGATTCAGAATTGGCTCAAATCATGAATACAATGTAAATTCTGTTCTCTTTAATTTATAATTTTATCTGTTTCTTTTTGGTTATGATTTATGCAGCTATGGGTGTTTGATCACAGACAATTGTCTTATTTGAATGGATCTCCATCTTTCTCTCCTATGCTCTCTCTCCACTTCTCCCCTTTCCTCTCCCTCCCTTCCTTTCTCCTCTCCCCTACCTCCCTCCTCCCAATTCAGTGTCTAGGATTCCCCTTTCTGAATTATAGATCAATCACATCTATTTATTATTAATAATTTCTCACTAGCCCTTAACAATTCAGCAGGTGATAACCTGGCCCACAGAAGCTCTAGACCAAAGACTGGCAAATTCATCTTCTGCAAAGGTTTACCTAGTAAATATGTGGGGCTTCATGACCAATATAGTATCATTTGTAACTATTCAGCTCTATTTTAATAGTGGAAAATAATAAATAGATGTGATTGATCTATAATCAAACATGGATCTTTGTGTTTGTGTGGCAAGCACGTTGCTTCCTGAACTATCACTCCAGCCCTAAAGTCTTTATTTATGAGCCTTACATTTTTTTTAAAGACAAGTTCTCTCTAGTATGCTGCTCTAGTTGTTCTAGAACACACTATGTAAACCAGGCTGGCCTTGAACTCACAGAGATCCTCTTGCCTCTGCCGTCCAAGTGCTGGGATTAAAGGCACGTGCTCTCGTGTCTTGCCCATTATAATTTATTGTTATCACGGCTTCATGGCCTAGTTTACTGTGGGGTACATGAACTCGGAAGACGTGTGTCCATGAATTTCCCCTTATTCCTGTATTTATAACAGTCAACGACTGAGATAAAGCAAAGTATTTTGAACTTTCATTTTGCTTTAGTTTTTAGAGTCTGATGTAGCTCAGGCTGGCCTCAGACTCCCTAAATGACCTCAGACTCTCTAGGACAAGCTTGAACTTCTCATTCCCCCTCCTCCACTCCCAAGTGCTGGGATTACAGCCAAGTGTTACCAAATCTTGTGTATGGAAAGCTAGAGACCCAATCTAGGGCTTTGTGCTAGGCAAACTGTCTGCCAACCAAGCTAAATCTCCATACCTTATATTTGGTCTTATCTCTTCCTCAGGAAAGTGTTTGTTTGGGAGGTTGTTTGCTTGTTTTCATTTCAGGAGTTTTAATTGCTCATCCGTTAGATTTGAAGAATCAAACACTCTGAAGTTCTATCAAGAGGTGTTTGTATGTCTTGTATTCTTTGTGATCCCAGACCTGCGCGTCTATAGCTCAAAATCTTTCCTTCTCTCTTATGAGGTTCTTCCAGGCGGGAAAGACATTTTTAATAGGTCACGCGCACACGCTTGCACACACACACACACACACACACACTAAAAATTAAAAATTAAAGATAAAAACCTAACTTTGCAAAACTGTAAAGCAAGCATGTAGAAAAACGGACTGAATTCATTAATGAGGTAACAGAAGGTTCTAACGCAGAGATTATGCTAGGCTTCATGTCAACTTGACACACACTAGGACCATCAACTTGACACACACTAGGACCATCTGGGAAGAGGGAAACTCAAATGAGAAAATGCCGCTATCAGATTGGCATCTGGGCAGGTGGTTCTGAGGTATATACAAGAAAGCGGACTGAGCAAGGCAGCAAGAGCAAGCCAGTCAGCAACGCTCTGCTGGGGTCTCCGCTTCAGTTCCTGCCTCCAGGTTTCTGCCTTGAGTCCCTGCCCTGACTTCCCTCACGAATAGAGCGTGACCTGAGAGCTGCAAACTGAAATAAACCCTTTCACCTCCAAGTGACTTCTGGGCATGGTGTTTTAGCACAGCAATCGAAACTCTGAGACAGGCAATGAAAGAAGGCTGATTGTTGCACGAATTCTAATTGTTCTTAATAATGAAAACTTGAGTCAGCTATCGGGGTGAAAGTTGAAGGACAGCCAGAGAAGCAGTGGAGCTGGCCACTAGGAAGGCCTTTTACCTCTACCGAATCCTCAGACTGAAGGGGCGATCCTGTCTCCACCAATCCTCACACTGCCTGCTGCATACTGCATCCTCAGACTGCATCCTCAGACTGGCTGCTGCTCAGGCTGCTGCCTCAGACTGCATCTGAGCTCCTGTCTCCTCCCACCTTATATTCCTCTCTCTGCCCAGCCACATCACTCCTCTCTCCACACCCAAGTGCTGGGAATTAAAGGTGCAGGCCGACCCCGCCCAGCTGTTTCTCTTTTAGACTGGAACAGTTTCGTGCAGCGCGTGGTGGCCTTGAACTCACAGAGACCCAGCAGCCTCTGTCTCCTGAGTGCTGGCATTAAAAGTGTGTATCACCACCACCAGACCTCTATGGCTAACTAGTAGTTTAGCTCTGCACTGATTTTTAGGCAAGCTTTCTTTGCTAGATTACAAACAAAATATCACTACAGCTGGCGTGAATAGCTGCATTACACAGATTTTTTTTTTGAATGATTACCGTCATCTGGAACAACTCAGTCGAAAGCACTGAACTTTAATTTTCTTCTTGCTTTCAACCCATTTGCATCGCTGTCAGTGTTTCCAACCTTGACACCCTCCCTGGCAGGACGTTTAAACTCTTATCGATAGTAAAATTAAGCCATAGATTATTGTTAATGATATTAGAGAATTAAAACTTATTTATTATGCTGGAAAAATGAAAAGATATTTTCTTCCTGATTTCTAAAACCAGAAACAAGCCGGGCGGGCTCACGCCTTTAATCCCAGCACTCGGGAGGCAGAGGCAGGAGGATCTCTGTGAGTTTGAGGCAGCCTGGATTACAGAGCAAGTTCCAGGACAGGCTCCAAAGCTACAGAGAAACCCTGTCTCAAAAAAGCGTTAAATAAATAAATAAATAAATAAATAAATAAAACCAGAAACAATTGCTATCTTGCTCATTGTTTGATTAATATTATATGATGTCAAGGCTAGAGAGGTGGCTCAGAGGTTAAGAGCGTTGACTACTCTTGCAGAGGTCCTGAGTTCAATTCCCAGCACGTGGTGGCTCACAACCATCTGTAAAGAGATCTGGTGCCCTCTTCTGGCCTGCAGGCAAACATGCAGACAGAACACTGTATACATAATAAAATAAAATAAAAAATTATATGATGCCAAGACAAGTTACATTAAGTTACTCTGAGTCTATGTTTATTTGTATTTGGACACAGTATATATTCAACAGATAATTATGAAACGAATCTAAAATCCTTTATTTATTTATTTGGAGACAGGGTCTTACTATGTAGACCTGCTGGCCTTCTACTTGCTATATAGGTGGAACTGGCTTTGGAACGCACTGAGATATGCCTGCCTCTGTTTTGAGAGTATTGGGATTAAAGGTGTGCGCTCAGCAAAGAATGAAATTGTTTTAGATCAGAATGTATTTGTCTATCCTGGTCCACATAACTAACAGGCAGTCTTACTTGCTCCTGCTGATGAAGGGATATGGAGTAATGAATGAATGGACCACGGAATCAAACCAACATAGTTGGAATCTCAACTCTGCAATCTACCGTCTGCACAACTTCCTCTTAACCCCTTAACTTCCTGCACCACTTAACCCCCCTAAACCCTACTTGTCCTTCAGTAGCCTGGGGTACCTTGATCAAAATCTTGTAGTTACCCACAAGTAAGGAATGGCTACAGCTTGCACCCGCCTCATTTGCCATGCAACGGCACGATGAAGCCTAGAGCACGGGTTTATTTTTAAGAAGGAAGAATTTGCTGTGCTTTAGGCAAAATGATGAAAAGAAATTACAAATAATGAAATATCATGATTGCGAGCCCAGGAACCAAACAGATCTGATAAAGTGATATTGGTAATGTCTGATGTCTAAGAAGGGCAAGTACAAAATGTGCTTTAGGTCTTTTTCCTTGTACCTTGTGGCACCACCCCGTTTAAAACGGCTCTTTAAGCCTCAGTCAATGTGATGTCATTGCAGATCTAAAAGCGGTGACTGCATCATGCTAAACTGCAGGGAAGCGCTAATTCTCTAAGCGCAATTATCGTGACGTCATTCCAGAACCGAAAGCGGTTGCTGCATCGGGTTAAACTTTGGGGGAGCACTAACTGACCTGGTTTCTCCGTCTCTCTGTATAACACAGGTGGTGAAGTTTACTAAATCCTTTGAACTGATGTCCCCAAAGTGCAGCGCCGATGCTGAGAACAGGTAAGGCCCCTGGGCTTCATGCTTGTCTTCTGACGCGCTGTGGTCCTTGGCGTTTGTGGTGTTGGATGATTCTCTGCGGACGGGAGTTGCCCTTTCTCTGCATCATCAAGTGCAGCCATTTATCACTCTGTGGAATGTCAGAATTTAAATAAAAGCTATTGCTGAATAGTGAGTGTATAAAGAATACATCTCCTTCGTTGTGTGTTTTTAAGACAAACTTAAAACTAGGGATGGTGGTACTAGCCTCTCAGCCAAGCTGCTTGGGAGGCTGAGTCAGGAAAACCCCAGATCCAAGACACACCATGGCTGCAGAGGTGGAGCAAGGCCAGCCTGGGAAACTCAGTGATTCCTGTCTCAAAAAAAAAAAAAAAAAAAAAAATCCTGAGAAGAGGGCTGAGGGTCTAGTTCAGTAATAAAGCACTTGCTGGAGAGTGCATGGAGTCTCTGGGTTCACTGTCAGTACCGAGAGAGAGAGAGAGAGAGAGAGAGAGAGAGAGAGAGAGAGAGAGAGAGAGAGAAGAAAAGACTGAAATGTAATACTTGTGATACGGTTATAATCTTGCCTGTGGGCTTTATAGTACCCCTCTCTCCTGAAGTTCAGGAGATTGGATTTTTTAAAATATGTATTATTGCCTTGAATCTTGGAAAACAGCTACTGTGTTAGTTACTTCTCATAACACCAGACAAAAGCAACTGTAAAAGGAAGGAAGGGTTTGTTCTTGCTTATAGTTTGAGTGTAAATCTGTAAGGACGGGAGAGTCGCGGTGGCAGATGCAGGAGGTAGCTGGTCCCATCCCATTCAGTCAGGAAGCTGAGTCATGCATGGGCTTATTCACCTCAGTTCCAGGGATCTGGCACCCTCTTATACGCACCTGGTGACTAGGTGTGCATGCAATATACATACATACATGTAAGCTATTCACTCATTTTCAGAAAATAAAAACTAAATTTTTTAAAAAAAGAAAGAATGATGTACTGTTGAGAAGTGACAAAGGAGCTGTTGACCACAGGGCCATCAGTAATAGGAAGGAAAGCTTGTGACGTGAATTCCTCTGGCACCTCTCCTGGCCGGTAATGGTTTCATGTTCTCTAGCAGGTCAACTCTTGTCCTTCTTCCTAATGACAGGAGGAAGGATGCCCTTGTAAATGTATGCCCTACTTTATGACAGAGAGCTTTTCTTGGATCCGCTTCTCGATTTTTTTTTCAGCACAAAATAATCCTATGGTACACGGCACATTTTTGTGTGACACATTATTGTCTCCTATGGCAACCAGCTCATTTACGGGAAATGGGAGGTAGATCTCAAGGAAAGCTCTGGATGTGGGAAGACCTCGATCAGGTCTTACAGGACCTAACTAACTTCCAGGGGGGTGAGATGCCATCAGCAGGGATTTTGCAAGAGAGGAGAGCCTGAGGGAAGCATTGCACGTGTGAGCGTGAGGGCTGTGAGCTGGTGTCACACGGATCATCATTATCGCTAGCGATGGTCCCTAATTCCTTGTCACGTCCAGCTGCCCGGGATGCCATCGGACTGAGGTGAGAATCCTACCAGGTCCTTCTGCTGTGCCCAGAGCCTCCTAATGAGAAAGCAGCGTGCTCGCCGAGGAATAACAGTGGGCAGTGATGTGATGAAGACTAGATGGAAAAATCGTGTGGGCTCGAATGAGGGAGGACTACAGGACGGCAAACTTAGAGCATCACTAAATCGCGCACAGAGCAGAGTCTTCTGTGGAGGTCCTCCATAGACAGCCCCCCCACACACACACACACACATTTGACATTCTCAGATCATTCCACTCACTATTTCTGGATGCATTAACAGGAAAACTCTTCTGTGAACACCAGAAAAAAACATAATGTCAACGCTTAGTAATTAATCAATAAATGCTTAGTGAATGAATGATTTAATGACATTGAAAATTGGGCTGGGGACCACCGTCCTGGGTGGCAGCTGTGGCATAGTTATTGCCCCATAGCTGTTTGCATTGCCACTTAGTGTATTGTACATTGTTGGTGCTACATGGCTGGGTTAAATGTGGGTTAATATTTTCAACAAGATTGCACAATAAGGGGATGGAGAGATGGCTCGGTGGATGAGAGCAATTGCTGCCTTTACAGAGGCCCTACCTTTGGTTCCCCGCACCCACATGCTGGCTTCTAATCATCGATAACTCCGCATCCAGGGAATCTGGTGCCCTCTTAAGGTTCCATGAACACCAGGTGTGCAATCACATACTCATATACATAAAATAATACGTAAATAAATCATGGAAAAGATGACTATGTCTTGACATTGAAATGAAAAGTTACTGTTTTATGCAGAAGCACGTGAGCAAAGGGGAGAGTATTTGCCAGGAAAACCTGAGGACAGAGCTGAGATCCCCAGCACCCACATAGACACGAGCCCAGTGTGATGGGACCTTCTCTACTCCTCGGACTTTGAAGGCAAGGATGGGATCCCCAGAGCAATTTGGCTGACTAAGCTAGCCAAACCACGGCACTCTGGGTTGAAGTGAGAGACCTTGCCTCAACGGATAAGATAGAAAGCAACTTAGGGGAGAACTAATTCTTTCTTTTTATTTGTTTGTTTGTTTGTTTATTTTTTCAAGTCAGGGTTTCTCTGTATAGTTCTGGCTGTCCTAGAGCCCACTCTGTAGACCAGGCTGAACTCAAACTCACAGAGATCCACTCCTGAGTGCTGGGATTAAAGGCGTGCACTACCGCTGGAAAGGGCCAGTTCCCAACCTCTGGCGTTACCATACATGCACACACACATGCACAAGCACTCCCCCACATATTCATGCATGTGAACACTCACACACACGTGCAACCACACCACATGTACATTAAAAAAAATCCCCCAAGCAACAAAGCCTACATAAACAAGAAGAAGACTACAATTTGATAGGAGTGGTGAAAATATTTCTGTTGAAAAACTAGCCACAACCCAGAGCAGTAACTAAAGAAGGAATTCCAAAGTCAATGAGGAGATGATCTTTCGCTACTCAAATAGCAACAAAACGACCCACTACCACATGCCAAGTCATGCACTTGAAGACAGAAGAAAGTGGCCAATTTCTCACCATAAACAAAAGAATTTCAAAGTAGCGAGAGCCTGGTGTGAACAAATCCATGTATTTTGCAGGGCTGCTATTAAAATGTGGAAAAACAATTTCTCAAAAAAAAAAATCTAATTGGAAGCTGCTTCCTTTCCAGTGGCAAGTAATTGAATTGAGGAGAGAAAAGGGAGCTTTGAATCTCATTAGAGAGGAAATGCTGAGACAGCCTTGCTGTCTGTTGACATGCTTGTCAGTGACAAGAGCGCTAAAACAACACGGGTCCCCAAATGAAGCGTTCCATCGTGATGGCATGAACGATGTCAGGCAGTCAAACTTGCCAACGTGCTTCATTTTCCACAGTGGAGTCACCCCGAGTGTGCCAGGCAGAATTTGTCCTCTTTGGCACCTTACCCCTTGTCATCATACCTCTACGGTGGATGGCAAGGGTGAGGAGGCTTTGCGGATGGAATAGAGGATACGTTAAAGTGAGGAGGTTACGCTGGGCTCTCTAGATGAGCCACGAAGAGCAATGTTTTCAGCCAGGTTGGGACAGAAAAGAAACCAGAGAGAAAGCAGAAGGAGAAGTCAAGGATTTAAAATGTGAACTGAAGGACCAGGAGCTGGCATGGACATTGAAATGTGGAACAGGTACTTGGGACACTGAGGGAGCTGGAGGCCAGCATGGCCTTTGATACGCTGATGGGTTCCCAAGATGGTCATATGGCCCTTCTGCCAGAGGTAAAGGAAACGACTCCTTTTGGCAGGGGGGAACAGGCTGCACAAATTCCTGAGGATGATTGGCTTTTCTCTAGTAGCCTCAAATCTTCCTACAGTGCAGGCTGAGCTCATTTCTGGATATTTCGGCTGCCTGAGACCTAGCATTCAGGAAAGCATGCAGCCTTGGCAACATCTTGATCGTGGCCTTCTCTAAGAACCCAGACAGTGAGTTCAACTGAGGTGGGAATACATACATCTTAGCCTGAGACAATTTAGGGTTTCCTCCAGTTTTAATGTTGGAATTATAGCTCTGCTACTCTTTCCTCTGAAAGAAAAATAAAGATTGTTTGCCACACGACTTCTTGAGCTCCATTTCTCAGGTCAGAATATTAAAACCAGTGTTTCAATGTTTAGGGAAGTAGCTGAAATTCTTTGTAGCAACTTAGTTTTGCCAACAAATGACTCCTTCTAACAACTATTTTAATCCATCTTATTAATTATCTCCCTAACTCTCTCTTTTGGGCCTCCAGATTCCATGGCTCAGATTCGGTCATTTTTACAGGGAAGTTGTCTTCCAGGATGTGTCTCTGATGACTCAAAGCTTCATGACAACCTTGCTAGTTCCTCCAAAGGTCTTTGTAAAGACATTGGATATCTGGGTAACCATCCTTTGTTCTTGTCCAGCATGGATGGCAGAACCAAGAAAAAGCTTGCAGCAGACGTAACCCTAAGAAAACTAAAAGGGATGGGCGAGGGTTTTGATTATCCCTAAGTATACTGTGATTACAGACTGTAATCATATTGCACTTTATAACCAAAACATCACTGGCCCACAGGGGATAGTTGTTAGCACCCAGTCAGATTATGGCTATGATCTGGGCCTGGAGGAGGAGACCACCAACTCTACAAGGCCAAGGTGACTCACCCAGTTGGACATTATTACGCCAAAGTATGCTTCAGGGAGGCAGAAATAGCTTTTGAGAATGTCACTAAATGTCTGTACTGTGAACTGTGATGGGACCAATGCCTTTGGGTACGCCTCAGAATATGACTTTCAGACTTTGAAAAATGTGGTCCCCAACAACAAAAATCTATCTAATTATCAGCTGGCTATTAAACTAACTGAAGAGAAATTCTAGCTGCTGTACGATGGAGACACTTTTCAAAATTAGTTTAGGGGAGTCACTTGACAACAAATAGCACCAAGAATAATAGCAACAGAT